TAAGATATGGAAACAACCCAAGTGTCCATCCATAGGTGAATGCATAGAGAAGATTATATATAATATATATATTATATGTATATAATGGAATATTACTCAGTCATAAAAAGACTGAAATCTTGCCATTTACAACAACATGGATGGATCTAGAGGGTATAATGCTAAATGAAATGTCAGTCAGAGAAAGCCAAATACCATGTGATTTCATTCGTATATGGAATTTAAGAAACAAAACAAATGAACAGGGGAAAAAAGAGACCAATAAAAAAACAGACTCTTAAATATGGATAACAAACTGGTGGTTGCGGGGGGGGGGGCGGGGGAAGGGGATGAAATAGATGAAGGGGATTAAGAGCGCACTTACCATGATGAACGCTGAGTAATGTACAGAATTGTTGACTCGCTATATTGTACACCTGAAACTAATATAACACTGTACGTTAATTACACTGGAATTTAAAAATTTTTTAAGTAAATCAGAAAAAAAAGATGTCAACAATGCCAAATGAAAGCCAAATGACATCTTTGCATGTTATATAGACAAAAGTTTCACAGTATTTTCAACAGAGAACTACAGTGGGTGAAAGGGTTCACAGCACTATAGACACATTATGATAAGTCATATCATATAGTCACTTTACAAAGGAAAGAATTATACACTTCCCACCTTCATAGTAATAATGTCCCAGGTTCATTAGCAGAAAGGGTAGTAGTTAGAAAGAAATGAAGAACTGCTTTTAAAAAAATTTTAAGTATTGTTATATTGAGAAGCACTATCAAACTGGCCCAACAAAATAACAGGTGTTCAAAATTAGCTCCTTGGGACACCTGGATGGCTCAGTCGGTTAAGTGTCTGCCTTCTGCTTGGGTCAGGATCCCAGGGTCCTGGAATCGAGTCCTGCGTCGGGATCCTTGCTCAGCAGGGAGCCTGCTTCTCCCTCTGCCTGCCGCTCCCCCTGTTTGTTCACACACACCCTCTCTCTTCCTCTCTCCCTCTCTCTCTGACAAATAAATAAATAAAATCTTTTTTAAAAATTACCTCCTTGTTAAAAAAAGGGGGAAATGGACAACAATTATCTAATTTTAACCAAACAATATTATCCACCACATTAAATTAGTGTTGTGTTGATTCTACAGTCTTGTATGTGCATCATCTGTAAATTTATTCTGATTTTATAGTAGTATAAGAGCTGTGAGTATAAGGATTTTATATGTGATTTTATGAATATACTTTTTTTTAAGATTTTATTTATTTGACAGAGAGAGACACAGAGAGAGAGGGAACACAAGCAGGGGGAGTGGGAGAGGGAGAAGCAGGCTCCCCGCAGAGCAAGGAACCCGATGTGGGGCTTGATCCCAGGACCCCGGGACCACGACCTGAGCCGAAGGCAGACGCCCAACGACTGAGCCACCCAGGCACCCTGAATATACATATTTAAGTGTTATTACAAATAATTCAAGTCAACATCAGGGGCTTAGGAGTTTTGTTTCCCTTAAAGAGGTCTGAACCTTATTCAACTTCGGGAACCACTGAGTGATAAAATAAAACCAAACTTCAGCTAGGTATACAAGGCCTTCCATGATCTGGCCCCACATCATATCGGAGTTTCATTTCCTGTTACTCTCCTACTCAAATCTGAGGTCCTCATAACACTGTAATTTCCATGTTTTTACTTTAGCTGTTCTCTCCACCGGGAACAACCACCTAAATCTCTTCAGCTAAAATAAGCATCATAGCCCATAGACAAGCCTTGGGATTTTAATCCTCCCAGAATGACAACTACTGGTTACTTACTCAACCGGATTAAATGATGCTATATGTCTGACATCTCTCCTGGTAAGATGTACATGGGGGATTCTCCCACATTATTGAGAAGTATGGATGGGCACCTGTCAGGTCACAAAGTGGGAAGCAACAGTGTCCCACTAAACCAGAGAAGCCAAACCAAAAGTGCAGCCAAGATGGAGCCTTCTCTCTAAAACAGGCCTTCACAGGCTGGAAGAGTGGTCACTCCCAGTCACTCCCCAAAACTTCTCAAGTGTTCTTTATAAATATGGGCTTCTGGTGAGAAAAGATAAATCACTTCAGTCTACACTTGTTATAACCTTTTTGGCGTGAATATCTGTTCAGGAAAATTAGAAATCTATGCAGGCTGTATTTATTTTTCACTCAAAGTAATTCATTTATTGAATACCATGAGGAAAAAATATGTACTCTTAAAGCACAAATTATGTACTGGATTGATTATAAGACCACCAATGAGAAAAACCAGCATTGCTTTTCAACTACTAAAACGTTACTATCTGAGCATATTTGAAAAGTAATAATACCAAAACATGTTTGTAAACTCTCAACCTAAAATTAGATCTAGGTGAATGACATGTGGTCTACAGCTGGTAGGTCACTGATCTAAAGGAAAAGGAAAAAAAAAAAAAAGATTGTTCCTCAAGCCAGTTTATATGGCTCATGGATTCAGCAACAACTTGAAATTTAATCTATTTTACTTTCTATTTGCTTGTAGGTTCTTAGAGTTCTAATCAAATTTCAGGTTTTAGAATACTTATCTAAAAAAATACTTATCTGATTTATTTTTTAATTTCTTGGTTTATTCATACATATGATGCTTATATTTTATATCCCATCTGTAGAATCTTCAAGTTGTTTTTTCTTCTACATTTATTCTATTTACCTAAAGCAGTGTTTCCCCAAAATAATAGATGAAGTGTTAGTCCTGCAAGATATTCTGAGAAAAAGAAATTCCCGAAGTCAACTAAGTCTGGGAAATTGTATACATGATATTCAAGTCACATGAACATTTTAGCTAAATACTCTGAGAAATCCTGAAATAATAAAAACTATTTAGATTTCTTTAATTCAGTATTTCCCAGACTTATTTGAACTTGAAGTAACAAAAATAATTTTTTAGAAATGCATTCAACATCCTGTAGAACTAGTGTTCCGCAGAAAATGCTTGGAGAAATGCTGATCTAAAGTCACCTTAACCTCCCCAGAGGTTAAGATTCTCAAATGATGTAGAAGGCTGCTGGAGAGAGTGAGGGATGACCCTTACGGTAACCAAAAGCAGAGCGAGGCTGGGAGAAAAGACTGATGCTCACAGCAACCAGGGTTGCTGCAGTCAACCCAGACATTTTAAGTCCAGAAGAGTCCATTCAGGCTGAAGCAACCTGAGCAATCTCGAGAGAGCCAGAGTAACAATAACAGCTACTATTATTGCCGTTTTTACTTTTATTTCTGCTTCAATTCAGTAATTACTCAGAATGGTAAAGGTACCACACAAACATTATCTCTAACCACATAAAACCCCAATATGAGAGATGAGGAAACCTTTGTTACTGCATTCTTCCAGCTCAGTCTGTAAAGTTTCTTCACTGAAGCAATTGTTCTCCCCTCCTCCCCTTTTCTAGATTTTATTTATTTATTTGACAGAGAGAGAGAGAGAGCACACAAGCAGGGAGAGCAGCAGAGAGAGAGGGAGAAGCAGGCTCTCTGCTGAGCAGAGAGCCCAATGCAGGGCTGAGCTGAAGACAGACACTAAACCGACTGAGCCACCCAGGCGCCCCTTCAGTTGCTCTCCCTTTGTTCTCGAAGCCACCCATTACCCTCTCTGGAGCCTTCCCTAATGCGACTAATTCTAGTATAAAACAAGTTAAACCCCACTGATGACTTTGGTCTACTTAACCATACCATGTCTGGTTCCCACCATGAATCAAATAGTTGTACATGCTAGGGGCGCCTGGGTGGCTCAGTCAGTTGAGTGCCTGACTCTCGATTTCGGCTCAGGTCATGATCTCAGGGTCGTGAGATTGAGCCCTGTGTCCAGCTCTGCAGTCAGCACAGAACCCGCTTGAGATTCTCTTTTTCTCCCTCTTCCTCTGCCCCTCCCCCTGCTTGAGCATGCAATCAATCAATCAGTAAATAAAATCTTAAAAAAAACAATAGTTGTACATGCTAAATCTGACGAGACCTGTGATCACCTAGGCATGGCATGGTATTTTGAAATTACTTCCCAAAGCTCTTTTAAAATTATACAAGAAAATCAATCTTAACACTCAAAGGCAAACTGAAATGCCTAAAAAGACCAAGCAGGTAACATAAATAAGGGGAGCTGGTCGGGAATAATCAATAGTTGGTGACAGACTGTGTTGATCTAGAGAGAACGTTCCATCCAAAGGGCATGACCATTAACTTTGGCAGATTGTTGTCAAGTGAAAACATGAGACCAGTATTGCTTGATCTTATTTTTTCAAATGAAGCCAGAAATACAGTTTTTGTATGAGATCTCCCAATTTTTAATATGTTGACCACTAACTAATTCCTTATAAACATTAGCAGGGCCAAAACAACATTAATTTGCAAGCTGTTCGCTCATGTTCTCATAAGCCAACTTCTACTAAACATTGCATTGCCTCTACCACCTCCGCTCTACCCCATTGATCATTCCCTCCAACCAGTAGACTTGAGTTGCTTTTGACACACTCAAAAAATCAAAAGCTTGCCAGTACTGAAGTTATATTTAAAAACCTCAGAGTCAGAAGTTGATTATAAAAAGGAGGCCTCCAGCCCCCAGTTTTTTTGAAAGATGGTAGCAAGGTTAAAATAAGTGCATGTGCCCCTCGAAAGCTCTGGCAATTATTATGTGCCTTTTCTATGATGCATTATATGCCAGACTGACTCTAAGTATGAGGAGACCATTAGCACTGCTCTAGTAACCAAATTTTTTTCTTCCTGCTCTCCAAACTGATTTGTCAGATTACTTTTGGAGATGAGATTCAGGCTCAGATAGGGCACAGGGTGGGGTAGTCCTCTGTGACCTTCTCTCGTCACCAGGGGTGCTTGTTAGAGAGGTGGCTAATGCCACCTGATACATGTATTATTCAAAGCTAGGGTTCGAGGTGTGGCCTGTGGTCTTTTAAGATCAACATCATCACTAAGTCCCCAGAGAGCCACATTATCTCAAAGAAGAGCCAAAGAGAAGAAGATGGGAAGAGGTGGGCTCCATGAGAATGGATGCTTCCTCTTCCTCATTCTCTACCTGCTGCTTCAAGGTAAGAAGGGGGACAAGAGCAAAAACAAAGCAGACATACAGCTTCTGAGAAAAAGACAAACCAGGCTAATTTTGCTATTCCTAGATAGTCAATGCTTGGATGTTCATTTTGGTAAAAATGAAAACTCAGGACACGGGCAGCTTTGTACTTCTTTGTAAGATCCTTATCTCCCTGTGCTTCGCTTGGTCTCTTCTCTTTCCCCATGTCTTTCTCTTTCCAGGCATATAACCTAACTGCATGTTTCTGAGTATCAACTAGTGTTAAAAAGAAGACAATTTTTTCTCAGCTCTCTTGAAGTAAATTAAATGGAACAGAGAAAATGCTAAAGGGAAGAAGGTGGTGAGAAGATCTGCCTTGAGAAAGGGAAACTTTCAGTAAAATTTTTTTCAGTGTAGATTATTTTTCTCATTCATTATTGAAAATGGACAAGGAGGGTTAATACAAATCAGAGATAGATCTGAACAGACTGCCAGAAGATGTTACCACACAATTCTATATCCTGCATCACAAGGTATGACTAGAAAAGGGCTAGGTATAAGATGGGTATCAAGGAACTCTCTTTAAGATAGTCTCAGTGGTGAGAACCACTCTGGTTTGGAAGAGAACAATCACAGCGCACAGTAGAGACACAGTAAATTCTTATCAACTTGGAAAACTGAGTTCCTTCCTTAAGGTCCCACATACCTCACACTCCCTACCTGATTGCCTTTATCATTAATTATCATCTATGCTGTGTTAATATAGTGAGGAGGAGAACTGTGGTTCTATCACTGACGTCACCCAAGTGTATCAAGAACAGAAATGAGCAATGGAAGGACACTAAGCGAAGGTGAAAAGGTTTGTGGTGAGATTCAGGACACTGAAAAGTGGTGGTCAGGGCTGAGTTTGCCTACATGTTTGGACGAGCTTTGCATGAGGACAGAAACAATGGAATTGAGGATGGAGCCCTGACTCAGCTCACCTCATCAACTTCCACCATTTGCCTACGAGCCCAGGCCACATTCCCTGGTTCAGGTAGGAGGAGCTCACAGGCTTCTCCCATGGCCCCTGTTTTCTCTTTGTGCAGAAACACCAGCCAGTCCCCAGTCCTGTCACTCTTCTCACAGGGTCTCTGCTCTCTGCAGGAAGAGGAGACACATTCACAATCAATTGCTCAGGCTTTGACCGGTACGGGGTGGATCCTGCTGCCTTCCAAGCAGTGTTTGACAGAAAGGCCTTGCGTCCAGTCGTCAACTACAGCATCCCCACTCATGTCAACATCTCCTTCACTATGTCTGCCATTGTGGAAGTGGTAAGTCCTGACTCAACACCGTAATGGGCTAAGCAGGGGTAAGCAGTGGGTTCCCTGCTTGAATTTTGTAAAATGAAAATCTCATTCTTTGGGGTGGGAAGACATGACAAAGATGCTTCATGAAGTGACATCATGGCAGGTAAAATCTGTCCCTTTTTGGACTACTCCATAAGAAACATAATCCCAATGGACTTTCATACTTTTTATTTTCACTTATATTTTCCTTGTACCCTGGATTCTTTGACTTATATTTTTCAGTGGTTTATGATTAAAAATCACCAATTGCCACATAGAACAGCCTTGGAAATGAGTAGGAGATGGGTGGTGGCACTGGACTTGACTTCATGGAGTCAATGATCCCAGATGAAAATTGTTTTTTCAGGATGCACAGCTTCAACTGATGACATCTTTCCTGTGGCTAAACGTGGTATGATAGACTGTTTTCCCTTTACTATAGTACTTCCCCTTTTCCACTCCTGGGCGCAGATTACAATGGATAAAGCTGAGAATACCAACGAATTGGACAAGTTGAAACAGAGCCAGACTAACAAATAAAAACACAAAACTTCCTAATTATCCTGCCAGTTTTGGAGTGCAGAGATGGGGCACAGGGAGAAGGTAGCATAAACCAAGGTCATGGAAGATAATACTTAAGTGGCTGCATCCCAGGGACTCCAAAGCTAAGGTCAAGGTCTCCCTTGAGAGCATTGAGGGAGAAGTAGAAGAAAGACTTTGTTAATGACGTAGTGATAGCTGTCACCCGAGAGGGGGTAAGAGAATGAGGAATTGAGAGAAAAAAGAAATGTAGGGACGCCTGCGTGGCTCAGTCGGTTAAGCGGCTGCCTTTGGCCCGGGTCATGATCCCAGGGTCCTGGGATTGAGTCCCACATCGGGCTCCTTGCTCAGCAGGGAGCCTGCTTCTCCCTCTCTCTCCCTTTGCTTGTGCTCTCTCTGTCAAATAAATAAAATCTTAAAAAAAAAAAAAAAAGAAATGTAAAGTGCAGGAGACAGAGTGTAACTAAAACTAGTTCCTACATCATTTGTCCCACACCATGGTTTCCTATAGATCTGGTACAATCCATTCATCAGGTGGAACCCAGAGGAATGTGGGGGCATCAGGAAGATCAGCATAGCAGCCGAGAATCTTTGGCTTCCAGATATCTTCACTGAAGAGTTGTGAGTATCAGGGCTGAAAAAAAGCAAGAAGGAAACCCTATTTCCAAGGAAGGGAATGATATAACCAATAGGGGGCACACAAAGACTCAGTTTAGAAGGAGCAATGTCTGAATTGAACTTACAAAACCCCCAGAACATAGCTATAGGTGGAAGGGGGAAGTCAAAATGAGTGGGGTTGGAGCACAGCAATGGTGTGACCTGAGAAAGAAAGACCTACACTATCCACCTTCCCATCCCTCTCACATACAGCATGGATGTGGATCAGACAGCTACAGGTCTCATGGCTTATATCAACAGTGAAGGTCTCATCAAATATGATAAGCCAATAAAGGTGGTCAGCATCTGTAACCTGGACATCTTCCATTGCCCCTTTGATGAACAGAACTGCACGGTCACCTTCAGTTCATTCATCGACACAGGTGAGTGAGGCTCTTTATAGTAGCCTATTGAGAGGCAGAGAAGGGGTGTTTTTTTTAAGACCTTTTTTTAAAAAAGATATGTATTTATTTGAGAGAGAGAAAGAGAATGAGAGAGAGCACGAGCAGGGTGAGGGGCACAGGGAGAAGCAGAGGAGCCTGATTTGGGGCTGGATCCCAGGACCCTGAGATCATGACCTGAGCTAAAGGCAAACACTTAACCAACTGGGCCACCCAGGCGCCCCCAGAGAAAGGGTTTTGAGAAAGAAGAGGCCAGGAAGCTGGGAATAGTGAGGAGGATCTCACTGAAAGGGGTGTGGAAGCTAAGTGGTAAGGAATTCAACAGTCTGGGAAAGGGGGTTGGGAGCATTTGGGAGGCTGAATTGTCTGGGTCTCCTTTGCAGTGGAGAATGTGGTCCTGGGCATGGAGAAGAAAGTGCAGGAGATTTCGAACACATCAAAGAACCTCATTCGGAGCAAGGGGGAGTGGGTACTTCTGGGTATCCACCAGAGAAGGATGAAGATGACTGTGGGCACCAACCAGTATGACCAAATCATTTTCTATGTGAGCTCGGGGGCCGTGGTTGTGATTGTGGTTGTGATGCGTAGTTTATGTCCCCTACCAGAATGTAAGCCCTCCCACTAGAAAGTAAGCTCCATAAGGGTAGAGATTTTTATCACTTTTTTCACTGATAAATCTCCACTACCTGCCGGCAGGAAGCGGGAATTGTGCCCCATTCAAGATGACCCTTCCACTGGGCTACAGTATCTGGAATGCAGTAAATATTGATTAAATAAATCCTCCCAGAGGGGGGAAAAAAAAAGCTCCCATGGGAGTGACTCAGTGAAAGTGAGCTTCCCAACTCCCATGACTATCAGAACTCTTCAGAAGGTGAGAATTTTTATGTTTATTTTTAAAAAGAAATGGTGGGAAAGTTATGAAACACTGTCTATAGGATATTATGCTTCCAAATCCTGGTGACCCCTAAATTATCTGCCACTGTCTTGCTTTCCCTCCCACTGGTCTTGAATGGCCACCAGCAAAGTCACTAAAGATTAGACTTTGATGAGGAAAGCAAGCAGTAATACAAGGATAAAATACACATGATACCTAAGAATTTGGTCCTACGGTCCTGCCAAGAGCCCTACATAGATAGGGCTAAAAATGGAAGTGGAAAAAGTTGACACCTTGGGAAAGCAAGGAATGAGATACACGTCAGTGGTAAGCAGCATGGCAGACTCCAACCCTGGAAAGGCAAACTGTGGTGATTAAGATGACTTTGTTGGAAAGAGGGGACAGTGAAAGGGACTTGAGGTAACATTTCCTTCCTAGACAGTTTGATCTGGGACATATCTCAACCCTTGATCTTAACTGGCTCAGCAGCCCCCCAGCCTATTCCTCACTCGCTCCCCTCTCTCCTCCCCGCAGGTGGACATGAGGCACAGGCCCAGACTCTACATCATAAACCTCCTGGTGCCCAGTGGTTTTCTGGTTGCCATCGATGCCCTCAGCTTCTACCTGCCGGCAGAAAGCGGGAATCGTGCCCCATTCAAGATGACCCTTCTGCTGGGCTACAGTGTCTTCCTGCTTATGATGAATGACTTGCTCCCTGCGACTGGCACCCCCCTCATCAGTATGGCCCCTCCCTCCATCAGGAGAATAAAAGCAAGGTGGGGGGGTGGGGACATGGACCAATGGAACCAGGTCAGAGTGAAAAGAAATCCTGGAAGGGGCCCTCTGGGAAAGGAGGAAACACAAAGTCCTGGGAGGTACCTCTGGCCCTCACGCAGACCCATCTTCCCTCCAGGTGTCTATTTTGCCCCGTGTCTGTCCCTGATGGCGGTCAGCCTGCTAGAGACCATCTTCATCACCTACCTGCTGCACCTGGCCACCACCCAGCCCCCACCCATGCCTCGGTGGCTCCACCCTCTGCTCCTCTGCTGCACCAGCCCAAGGAAATGCTGCCCCACTGCACCCCAGAAGGGAAATAAGGGCCTGGGCCCCACCCCCACCCACCTGCCTGGTGAGGGTTCGGCACTGCGTACATTTCCTCTTCCCACACCTCCACTCTCTGCTCCTGTCTCCTTTCCTGGCCCCCTCCCTCCCCAGGGGCACTTCATGGCCCATGGCTGAGTCTCTGTCTCTGTAGGTGTGAAGGAGCCCGTGGAGTTGGTGGGGAAGGTGTCAGGTCCCAGAAAGGCAGAGTTAAATGGGAGCCCTGAGTCAACAAGGGCCCAGCAGGAAGAAGAGACTCAGAGGCAGGACTTGGTCGACCTGTGGGTGAAGTTCAGCCACATGATGGACACCCTGCTCTTCCGCCTCTACCTGCTCTTCATGGCCACCTCCATCATCACGGTCATCGTCCTCTGGAACACCTAGGCAAATGCCCACTGCAAGCTCCAGTCTGGAGCTTCTCTTGCCTCTAAGAGCTCCAAGCTCCCATGTGTGTCCAAATCCCAGCCTCAAAGCCCTGGCAACCACCTTGTTTTCGACTCAGCACTTCCATGCAGTTTCAGAACAGACCTGGATGATTGCCTATGCCTCCCAGAGTTAGGTCCTTGCTCCTGCACGCCATCAGCTCCCTTCATTCCTCCCTTATGTGCTGCCTGCCTGGCTCCTCAGGATTCAAGTTCCTGGAATACTTTCTTGATTGACTCACTCCCAATAAACCCTTGCAGAAAGCATTGGCTCTTCCCTACATTATATTACAGTATCAAAAATCTTGGATTGAGAGTCTTCTTGGAGAAGCTACTCATTACCACAGTAAAAGGGATTTTTTAAGTCTATTAGGCAACTTGTGAAAGCAGGGAGAGGGGAGTGAAGGGTTCAAAACCTATTACAAGGAATTATAATAAAACAGGGATTAATCTCCTAAATCTAGTTATCCTGGATTTAAGCTTTAGAAATTAATAATGTGCCAGAATCAGGCATCTCTTACTTAAAGAATGAAGCATTTTGTCACAGCCTGACATATGACTCATTCATCCTTAAGCATTTAGATGTTAACATAATCCTGAATTACCGTTAACTGTGTTGCAATCAAAGTGGATGTGCGTTAACTGTGTTGCAATCAAAGTGGATGTGCCTTTAATCTTTCGAAGGAAAGAACACAAGGCCAAGGAAAGCACATTTGAAAATGGCATCTGCTTTACTTGGGAATAACACAAATGCCCCCATATGAACTGGAAAATTCCCCTTCCTAGCACTTGCCTTATGGTTTTGCAAGTGTTTGTCTTTTGGCCCATCTCTCCCACTACTGTCTGGGGGATGGAGAGGCTCCATGGTGTCGCTGTACATGGGAGCTGTGACATGATTTGCTGGACACCCCAGGTTCAGAAAAGCACAGATATGAGAGCAAATTAATTACAACTCACACAAAATCTTTTCTTTTTAGCAACAATTTCTTTTCCTTTCTTTTGTTATTCTACTACTTTCTATCTCCAGCCTAAGAAATTAACGGTAGTGTTTACTAAACAACATTTCCTGGGTTCCTCCTCTCTGCTGCTCTTCCTCAAACTTCTTTGGCTCCCTCCGTAGGGAGCTGTAGATGCCCAAAGGGTGGCAAGGCTATCAATGTTCACGAGAAGGGTTGCTGTTGGTGGTGCAGGCCCAAGGTTCCACCCCAGTGTTTGCTACAGGAGCATCTGCCCTGCAGAGCCCAAGCTAGTCGGGGCAGATGTCCCCAGCTGGATGTTGAATCACCAGGACCAGCTATTACTTGTTCTTTCCTTGCAGTCCGCTACCACTGGGACTCGGGCAGGAATCCATAGGAAGCTGGGAGTATTGAGGCAGAAGCACCCTGCTAAACTCTAAATTACTCCTTGCACTCAGGCCCATGGTCTTCCAACTCAACTTGTGTTCCTTAAATCTCCTTTTCTTTGATCTGCATTTTTTTTTTCCAGGAATGTCTTTGGTTTCTCAGTTTGTAAGGCCCTGTCAAGCACCCCCTCACCACCACCAGCATTCCAGGCATGTCCAAAAACTAGTGTATCACAATCTGGGCTCAAATCAGGAGCCCCTGACGTTCACCTAAATAAATCAGCATACCTGTTATTATTTCCGCAAGTCCTCTACTCACAGCTTTCTACAAAGTGGGCGTTTAAAAAGGACACAATGTGGTAATAATAATAACCAACATTGATTAAGTTAGGAATATGTGTCAGGCAGTCTCCTAAGGGTCTTAGATAAATAACCACATTTAATCCTACAGTAACCTTATGAAGTAGGAACTATAGATCCACAAACACTTGGAGCCAAATGTGTTTTGGAATTTGGAATTTTTCAGATTTTAAGAAGGAAATAATCATGCATGTACTGTATGGGGTATGGGGCAATGCCCTATAATCAAACACATTAACATTTCTGCAGTGAAATCTATGAATATTCACAGTAAGGAGCAGAAATGAAATTGGGATAGTCTCGCATCAGTTCAGGTCAGGTTTTGCCACCAAATAATTTGTGAAAAATCATTTGGTTTTCAAAGCTCTTTAGGTTTTAGTGCTGTGGGTTTGTATTATTGCCCCCATTTTATATATTCAGGCACAGGAGATGAAATAAATGAAGGAAATGAAGCACGGAGGTGAAGTGACAGCCACGGAGCTGTCTCCCGGGTGCCCCAGCTAGAAAGTGACTGAGCTGTGGTTAGCTACTGGACTCTGAGCCTCCGCCTCACTGCCCTCCAAACTGAGGACGAGAACTGGACAGGGTCTCTAAGAGTCCCGTGCTGAGACGTCAGTTCCATTAGCTGATGCCTTAGGAGAATTAAGACAGAAAGAGCAAGCCCTTGCTCAGGGTCCCAAAGACAAACTTCCTTTCAAATTTCCTTTTATTCCCTCCCTCAGTCTTCCCCACTCCTCCCCTCCCCCCTCCACCCCCATTATAAGTCATAACAGCCAACTTCACTATTTGCTTCCTGTAGGGTATATTTCCCCAGATCTCATCTGGGAAATCTGCCTTTCCTTTGTATTCTCTATGGGTTTCATTTTTTACTGCTCATACATATTCTATGGCCAGATACTTTTGGATCTTCTACTCCTTTGCCCTATCCCAAGACGGACATCTCACCTGGAAACTCATTCTTGACTTTGCTAAGAAGCTCATTGACCCAGCTTTTTTTGGGGGGGGGGGTCCTGAAATTATTTAAGATCAATTTGTGGGATTTTCGTTTTCCCACCCATCTTCATGGTACATATTTTTCTGCTTATTTTCTTCACATTTTTTCTGACACATAGCTTTATGTTTTATTCGAACAGGAGATATGTAATGTGTTTTTTTTTTTTGACACATGAATTAAGAAACTAGATCTCCTCTCAGTGAGAGAAGGCACAATATAATTATAGTGATTTTATCTTCTCCTCAAGCAAAATCTGAGCACACGATCTTAACACACAAATGATAATCATGTGGAACCTTGGAACCATAACTCTCCCAGGAAATTTACAGATACAGTTGCTGCCTTTCTGTTCCAACTATAACAGTCAGAAATAAAAGTGTCCAATAAGCACACTTGGGGGCTAATGACTCTCCTCTTATTATGGGGCAAACCTCTCAAAGGCTTTGCAAGGTAATTTAGAAAAATTTAGGAAAATCTTCAGAAAAATCTGCCAACAGGCAACTGGTCCTGCCTGGGCTAGCTTGCACGTGATGGCTTGTCTCTGCGGGATAGCCCTTCACCTTGTCCATTCATCTGCAGCGCTACCTGTGGTTCTTGCACACATCTGTGCTCACTTCCTTTCTCTAAACTATTGTAGGCAGTATTTCTCCATGTTTTTCACATTTTCTTTCAGCTCCATATTAACCTGACGTTAACATGTATTATCTCATTACCATCTTTGTTCTCTCTCCTCCTTCAGGTCCACTCTAGGATGTGAAGTCATAGATTTCATTTCAAGCTCATCCTTTCCCTCCTCCAATTTCTTTCTTTTTTTTAAGATTTTATTTTGTTTGTTTGTCAGAGAGAGAGCATGTGCACAAGCAGGGGGAGCGGTAGGCAGAGGGAGAGGGAGAAGCAGACTCTCCGCTGACCAAGGAGCCTGACGCGGAACTCGATCCCAGGACCCTGGGATCATGACCTGAGCTGAAGGCAGACAATTAACCATCTGAGTGCGTCCCTCCCTCCTCCAATTTCTGACCCCTCCCTTCAGTGACCTCTCCTATTTGATCATTCATAAGCACTGGTTCTTCTAAAAGGCAAGGTGGCAGGAATAGTATAATAGGGAGACTTTGGAATCTGGCAACCTTGGGTTCTAATCTGACTGCATTACTTGTTGGGTAAAAACTTGTACAAATGGATTCACCCCACAAGCTTAAATTTCATTTGTGAAGTGGAGCTAAAAGAGCAGGTTAAATTATTTTTAAAATATGAATTAAAAAATCATTTACAAGCTTACAGAAACTAGAAAGCCAAATGTGATGCACCAGAGAGCATCTATTTATCGTGCAGACTGAGACTTAATATGCAAAATTGACTTCTAGGTGGGAGGCCACAGACACAAAGAATTACTGGCTTTCTAGTTCAGCCCCCTCGTTTTTTAGGCGAGAAAAATGAAGTGATAAGTGTGGGGTTGTCATACTTCAAGAAAGCCTGGGATCAGAGCCTGGGCCTGTCAAAATGGCAGCTCAGATGAGTACTTGTTCATGGCACTCTTTTTCTAGGTGTGTTTCAGAGTCCCAAGACCTTCCTCCTCTCCTGCTCCAGATGTCATAGCCAGCCTGACCCCAGATAGTGACCCACTCTGTAGTTTGGATGTTGTAGCTGCCTTTGTACTCCTGGATCCTTAGCCCTGAGCAATGGCCTGTGTGTGTGACTGCCATCCATCAGGGCTGCCAAACGATGGCCCTCATTTCCCCTTTCCACCACCTCGTTCTGCCTTTGCCAGGTTACAGCTATATTCCCAAACCTGACCCACCAGGGTCCCAGGTGAGTAGTGGGACCATGCAGTGTGATCCTGCTCGGAATAAGCTAAGGAGAAAGTGACTTGTGTCCGTGACTTACAAAACTACAGCTTCTGTCCCGTTTACCTTTGAATCCAAGCATTGTCTAGGCCTAGGGATTTCGCTGGTGGGAAACTAGGGGCCTAATAATCCAGACCAAAAGACTTCCCAGCTATGGAGTGATTAAAAGAGCAAGGAAACAACAATGGAATCAGACCTGGGTTTGAATCTGGATTCTACCTATTTCTACCTGAGTAGACACGGAGCAAGATTTTTTTTACCTTCTTTATCTCAGTTTTCTTCATCTGTAAAATGGGAGTAATACCGCTGACCTCTCCAAGTAGTTGGGAGGATGAGAATACTGTAAGTAAAGTGCCTACCACAGTGAGGCACACATGGCACAAACTCAATTAATGGTAGCTCTGGTTAGGCCTTTATTGGAAACT